TACCACGCGTAGAATTACCACGCGTGGAATTACCACGCGTGGAATTACCACGCGTTGAATATCTATGCGCTGGGTTACTACGTGTTGGATTAGCGCGCGTGGAATTACCACGCGTGGGATTACTACGCGTGGAATTACCACGTGTTTCATTACTACGCGTTGAATAACCACGCGCTGGGTTACTACGCGTTGGATATCCACACGCTGGGTTACTACGCGTTGCATTATCACACGTTGCATTACTACGTTGCATTACACGTTGCATTACACCCCGTATATTTTGCAAATACATACAATTTTTACGTGACTTCTTCAAAAAAATAAATTGCAGAATTTTTGCGGATATTTTTATGAAAATTTGTTTGTAACAACAATGACAGTTTTAATGATTGGTAATTTAGCTTTGAATTTCGATTTTAATTATTTGGGAAACGTGGTATACAAAGGAGGTCATTAAATTATATGTACATATATATAAATTACTTTTATATTAATTTATAGAGGTACATATAGATACGAAGAAAATAACATGCAACGTGAGAGGAACATGCAACCGAATGTAGTTTTACTTCAATTTTAAGCTACTTCTATTAACTTATATGTTCGCATAAAAACGAATGTACAAAATAAATGAGATGCAACGTGGGATAAAGCGACATGCGACTGAGGATATAAAAGTTTTATTTGACTCCTAAAGCACTTTTATATCAACTTATACATATAAATGTATATAAAATGAAAAGTAGTCGGGTAAAATAGATATTTAACGTGAGACAAAGGAATATATGGAATATTTTATTTGAATTTCAACCCCTTAACGTACTAGTTTTTAAGCAGTTGTCATGCAAGAATTATTGGTACAATGTGAACATGATGAACATGAATTTTGGCAATTTTTAGAGGATTAAAAGGGTACGTAAGGTTCGTGTGCTGAAAAAGTTTACGCTAGGATTTCCATATGAATTTTTATCAGCGATGAAAACCTGTCGAACTGTTCCTCGTTACATAAGCAACGAGAGCGCACGGGTTAGTCCGTTTTTATTTGAAATTCCATTATCACGAGCGGTGCAATCCGAATTACAAATGCCGATCGAAATTGCTGACTGAAATACGGATTTTCCTGTAATTTAACATCGACCTGTGTTACGAAGATGCTGATAAATCTGTTGAATTATTTATTCATAAATAAATTTAGCTTGTAGAAATATAGGAATGAAGGGATATAGGGGTATAGGGATATATAAATATGGGAAGAAGTGAATCTACAAATCTGAGAATATAGAAATCTATACAATAGAATTTTACAATATATAAAAATATAAAAATACAAGAATCTATGAATCTATGAATTGTTAACAATCTCCAGTACTCCACAAACAAATCCAAACACGAAATACCTTATTCTATCCGAACGCCTCAAATATTCCTACCCAAATTGAAAATACATCTCAAACTAGAATTCATACGAAGCATCGACACCAGGATAATTTATAGTTCGAAACAGTAATTCTTTTCCCGAAGCATTTCAGATGAAGGATCTGCTTCCGTGAGAAAACGCACTTGTCCACCCCTTTGAATTCCTCTGAAATAAAAGGCAATCGATCAAAGTCAGGAAACTCTTCCTCGTTTCTTCCAAATTTAGTTTATTGCACTTTCCATATAATTACCACACTTGCAACCAACTTGCAACTGAACGACTAATCGTTCTGTTAATTACGTATACTACCAAAAATAGGATGGAGAGCTAAAAACTTCAAGGGTCCTAATGAGGGTGCAGGGTAAATAAAAAGACTCTTCGAACGACTTGGCTCTTTACTGTCGTTCTTGTCACGTTTAAGCAGTCGAGTATCAACTTTGAACCTTAGAAAGGAGTTGAAAGGAACGAAATTAGAGGAACGGAAAGACTTTTTAAGGAAATTCTTTATTTTTAGGTGATGATGGGGTCTTTTAGAGTAATAACTCAGTGTTGGAGATATTTGAGATCTCTTCAAGAAATTTGAGATTTGAGAATATTCTGAGAGGAAATTTGGAAAGGTCCTTGTTTATAGGATTCAAGAATTACTGTTCAAGATATTGTTCAAGTTATTGTGCAGGTTACTCTTCAAGTTGGTGTTCAAGTTACTCTTCAAGTTACTGTTCGAGCTACTGTTCAAATTACTCTTCAAGTTACTGTTCAAGCTACTCTTCAAGTTACTGTTCAAGTTACTCTTCAAATTACTGTTCAAGTTACTGTTTAAATTACTCTTCAAGTTACTCTTCAAGTTAGTGTTTAAGTTACTGTTTAAGTTACTCTGCAAGTTACTTTTCAAATTCTATTTTCATCAAGCCATTGATTTATTTGGTGTCCAGTCACATTCTCAACGAACCTAACTGTCCACACTCTTCGTTACAATCAACCTCTCGATAAAACCTCATGCAGGCCATGGTATTTACTTGCAACCCTAAACAAAACCATGTTTTCCATGTCACCTTTCACTTCAACTTCTTACTTGTCCATTATGTTCTCAATGGAGCTACGTTTCAAAAAATGAACTTAATAACCAAAAAAGAAAAATAGAAAGGGAAAATCATACTGATAATTGATTAGTTATAGTTGAAGGAGTGAATCCTTATTCGAGACAAAATATTTAGGTATATAACGATGCAATGTGCTTTATGTTTCAGTATGCGTACAATGGCCAGAGGGTAGGTGCTTCCACGACGTGCCTGAATCGGCACTGCTGAATCTCTACTTCGAGATCCGTGAGAATTGCCACGGGTTCTCCTGAAGGCGATGCTCGGCGACGACAGTGGTGACGATCAACGGAGTGCATCGCGACAGACAGTCTCGAGGCGCACCTCAGAAAAAACAGTTGACATTTTCGTTTGTTTCTTCCCAACAGCCGCCAACACGCCACGACCAAGCCAACAAAAAGCAAAAACTAAGAACAAACACAGCCACGAGTATAGAAATCTCGTTCTCTTTCACTCGAGAACGATCTATCTCACCAATTTCTTTTTTTACACAATTTTTTTTTTTATTTCATCGCTTCTTCTCTTGAATTTCGATCGTTGACGTGCCGAGTCGAGTCGGTGTTTATAATGCAATTTTTTTTTTAATCGACTCGATTAGGGCACGTTCACACGTAGAAACGAATGACGTTTCTACACCACAGGTCTAGCACTGACCCTTAGATGGTCCACGCGAGAAGGGCTACGTTTTTTAACCCCTTACGTTCTGCCCAGAATTTTTTTAGGGTTCTCGGTGATTCCAGCAGAACCAAGGTGGGTGTACAGACTTTATTTACCTACAACTAATTGCTCGTCGTTCAACCAGCTCGCGAATACTGTCTACTCTTCTCTCTATTATTTTTCTTTTTTTTTATTCTCACTCTTTTCACTCGCCTTCCTCAACCTTGTACGAGGGAGAGCTCACACCAGGCCCTGATCCCACGTCTCTCTTACATACACACACACGTACACTACACTCTGAAAATGTGTTTGTTCCACTGTGTTCTCGCGACAGAAAAGAGCAGTCTGTGGTCCATTCCCGTTCTAGCGTGAACCGCTGCCAGAAAAGGGATGAAAATCCTAGAATCAGAGGAAATTGCGCTCGTCCACTTTTTTATAACAAACCTTATGTTTTACCAATATTTGCGATGTTTTTACTTTCGGTTTTACATTCTTTTTCATTCTTTTACAGTTATTACTGTTTAATACTTTTTACAATCTTTTATTATATTTTTTTTAGATTTCTTTGTTTTATGTATTTCAAATTTTTCAACTTTTAAGATTTATAAGGATTCATTTTTTTCAACTATATGAAACCTTTTTTACTGATTCTGCATATGTTCTTTAAGGTTTCTACAAGGATCTTCTTCGTAATTTATACTCGTTTATTCTTTACAATTTGTACCTTCTTTAGAAGTTGTACCTTCTTTGCAGTCTGTACTTCTTTACGGTTTCACGTGTACCTTTACGATTCTTATGTATAATTTCTTTAAGGTTTACGCGTATAGCTCCCTTTCAATTTCTGCGTGTAATTTCTTTAAGGTTTATGCGTATAACCTTTACAATTTCTGCGTACAGTTTCTTTACAATTTCTATATGTAGCTTCTTCATAATTTCTACATGTAGCTTCTTCGCAGTTTCTGCATTCAATTTGTCCTCGTATATTTATAATTTCTACATGTAGCTTCTTCACAGTTTCTACATTCAATTCATCCAATATATTTACAATTTCTACCTTCTCTGCAATTTCTACGTATAGCTTTATAATTTCACCTTTTCAATCTTTACGTATAGCTTCTACACAGTTTTTGTACATCTTCATCAATTTTGGAGAGGAGTTTACAGGGCGCAATTTCCTCGAGAAAATAAATTTCCCGCGAAATGAAAAACGGCCACGTGGGTAACGTCTATCGGTCAGTGGTAGGTCGGCACGAGACTTCTCGGATCAATGAATCGATGATTCCTAATCTTGAGAACCTTCTGAAAGCTTCGGCGCAAAGTATTAACCGGTTAACTGCAGTTAATCTCATAATTAAAATATGCACTTCACAAAGTTTTCTATAAACTTTACAAGAATAATCAAATAAAAAAATGAAGTAAAAAGTCAAGTGAAAAAAATCAAATAAAACAATCAAATAAAGAAGTCAAATAACAAAAATGAAACAAAGCAAGATTTATATTTTTACTCCACAAGAAATGAACAGTGTATTGAAATTAATTTTTTAACAAGCAGTTAACCGGTCAATAAAAAAAGAAATACCGAAAGGTTCTCACTTTCTGAGAGCATACAAAGTTTAGATCGTAAGCTTAGCAATATTGTCGGAACCACAGGGTACTCGAAAAGTATTTTATCTACATTCCGCGGTTTCTCGATTTTATACGCCATTGTACACTCTGTGTTTAATTTAACTCGCGAATATTCGCCACATCGATACAGGGTATTGTTTCTAGTGATCGTAAGTTACCTTCCGTAGAATATTCCGAGACAACGAATGAGTACAAGTGAACATTCCTAAAATCCTACATCGTCAACGTGCCAAAGTGATACGAATCAAACTTGTGATACAATCAAAATGAAGAATTTATCGATTGACTGAATGGCTTACATGTTTTTTGAACAGTGCTGTATCAATTATTTAATACGTGCAAAAGTTTTCATTACTCGTAAACAAGTTTTTGGATCTAATTTGTTAATGTTTCTCCTTCATTGTGATGATAAAAAGATCAAGCTACATGCATATGTATATCATATGTATATAATCAATTCATCTTTTGAAACTTAATAATTGTCCACAAGTTTCAATATCTTTATTGTACATCACAGTGATCAAGTATGATGTCTTTCAACCAGAGTACCAAAATGTTTAAATCAGAAACTTGTCTATACACAATCAACTCAACTGTTGAAACTTAATAATTGTCTATAAGTTTCAACATAATAATTGTCCACAAGTTTCAATATCTTTATTGTACATCACAATGATCATGTATGATGTCTTTTAACCAGAGTATCAAATGTTTAAATCAGAAACTTGTCTGTACACAATCAACTCAACTGTTGAAACTTAATAAATGTCCACAAGTTTCAATATCTTTATTGTACATCACAGTGATCATGTATGATGTCTTTCAACCAGAGTACCAAAATGTTTAGATCAGAAACTTGTCTATACACAATCAACTTAACTGTTGAAACTTAATAATTGTCAATAAGTTTCAATATCTTTATTATACATCACAGTGATCAAGTATGATGTCTTTCAACCAAAGTACCAAAATGTTTAAATCAGAAACTTGTCTATACACAATCAACTCAACTGTTGAAACTTAATAATTGTCCATAAGTTTCAATATCTTTATTGTACATCACAGTGATCATGTATGATGTCTTTCAACCAGAGTACCAAAATGTTTAGATCAGAAACTCCTCTATGTATAATCAACTCAACTGTTGGAACATAATAATTTTCCATAAATTTCAATATAAAAATTGTCCATAAGTTTCAACATGATAATTGTCCTATAAGTTTCAATATAATAACTGTCCATAAGTTTCAACACTATAATTGTCCTATAAGTTTCAATATAATAACTGTCCATAAATCTCAACATAATAATTGTCCATAAGTTTCAATATCTTTATCATAATTCACAATGATCAAGTATAATATCTTTCAACCAGACTAATTGAAACATTTCAATAAAATGTCCAGATCAGAAACTAATTTTGTAAGATAATAATTTTGCAAGGAATGAAAAGAATTTGTCTAAAGAACCATGTAAGCTTTTGCACGTCCGTAATTTATATTCGTAACAAGTTATAATGACGTCCACTTGAAGGTGTCGAGAGCATATTTTGCCAGTATGAACGTTCATTGAACAATCACTCTCAATTAACAGTCACTTTCGCTCGACAGTCATCTCTCAGCACAGCGTCCGAAACACAGGTAGCCTAAGAATAGAAACGAAGTGGATTTAACAGTGCTTTCACGACCTCGCACCTAGAATTCTGATCGACAAAAGACATTTATCACTTTCATGACAGAAAGCTGTGTTTCAAGTTCTCGGGCCCCGTAGCTTCGATTCAAATTTCGGTGCAATCGATCAATTCCATTTCCGTGAAATTTCCGTGGCACGTTGACCGATGTTCGTGACCATTTTCTCGCTAGCTGAACCCGCGAAACCACGGACATTATTCTGAGTAATCTCACGTGCAACGTCGTGTTTCGAGTGTAAATCTTGAGAGACAAAACGCAGCAGTTCGCACGATTTCTCTATGGGAGACAGTAATGCGTCGTTCTACGACTCTGGAAGTCGATTCTAACCGAGGAACAATCTAGCACGAAAGAAACGTGGAAACTCGAAGATGCTTCAAGAAGAGAATGTGGAACAAGGATGTGATACGAATAGAGATGGACGATGAAAAAGGACAAAATGGTTCCAGGAGGATGTTCACGGTTTATGCGAATTGTATTGTACGGCTCTTAGTTGCTGGTGGAGAATTGATGAAACCTTGACGTCTTTGAAGCCTTTGGGTTTATGTCGACATGTACATTTTTGGATTAGTGGATTTCTGGATTTTTGGATTTTTGGATTTCTAGATTTCTGGATTAGTGGATTTCTGGATTTCTGGATTTCTAGATTTCTGGATTAGTGGATTTCTGGATTTCTAGATTTGTGGATTAGTGGATTAGTGGATTTCTGGATTTCTAGATTTTTGGATTAGTGGATTTCTGGATTTCTAGATTTCTGGATTAGTGGATTTCTGGATCTCTGGATTAGTGGATTAGTGGATTTCTGGATTTCTGGATTTCTAGATTTCTGGATTAGTGGATTAGTGGATTTCTGGATTTTTAGACTTCTGGATTTCTAGATTTCTGGATTTCTGGATTTCTGGATTTCTGGATTAGTGGATTTCTGGATTTCTGGGTTTCTAGATTTCTAGATTTCTAGGTTTCTAATTTTCCAAATTTGTAGATTCCCAGGTTCCTAAATTTGTGGACTCTCAGATTTCCAAATTGCTAGTAACCTAAATTTCTAAATTTCCAGATTCCTAAATTAGTGGATTCTCAGATTCCCAAATTGCTGGTCTCCTAAATTTCTAGATTCCTAGCTCTCTCAATTTGTAGATTCTCAGATTCCTGAATTTCCAGCTTCCTAGATATCTAGATTCGTAGGTACAGAAATATTCTATATTTCTATATTTGTAGATCTCTACACCCCCAAGTTCTTTTTCTTCTTCTGACCTAATC